AAATAAATATAAAATAAAAATAAATATTTCTGTTACATGTAGTTTCATTTATTCTCACACAAACGTTCTTGACTTGTTCATTCATAAATTACAACAAATATTTCGGAACTGATATATCGGAAAATAACTCACAGACTCTCACCCTACTCCTATCCTCCGCTCGCTTAAAAGCAGTCCATTGAATGGTAGTCGGTGCAGTTACTGGAACGTTAAATCCCGGATACGAGCGACGGTTTTTCATTCGTGGTAGCGGCAATCAGGTGTCCAGGCGGTGGTACGAGCATCGTCGTGTGGTCGTGGCGTCGAGACGCTGCTAATGTAAGAGGAACACCTCTTGCGTTCGGTACCGGAAGCACCGGTGCACGTCGATCCCGACGACTTGTACGCGATATACAGCGAGGTATGCGTCCAGGCCGGTCCATAGTGCCGGCAATAACTCGGCTGCTATTTCAGGCGGTCTAATTCGAGCCGGGTGACGGTAAGCTTTTAACGGCAGCGCTGCTAACATCATCCACCGTCGCCAGTACCACCACCACCACCACCACCACCTATGGCACCACCACCGTCGCCGATAACCACCGGAACCAAGAGTCTGGTGGCAGAGAGGCTGTCGCTCGCGCAGTCTCCCGTGCGCGTACGATCCCAATACAACGACACCGCTTCTCTGACCCTTCAAGGTAAACGAAATACGTATCTCATCTCCTTGCTTTCAGACTGACACAACCAATAAAATTAACTTCAACGAAATTAATTACGTTCACATTCGAACATAAGTAATTTCAATCGCACCGTTGTGACCGGTTCGTGTAATAACTTTCGAAAAAGACGAATTGCGAGCTAGGATACATATCTAAGTTCCCGCCGTTTAATTATTGAAATTATCCTGGTGCTGTTTTATATATTATACACTTCGAGAACAAAATAGTGTTCCGGAAGGTGTCGATGAATTCGCTGATCGAAAATAGAGCGGACGAGTTTTAGTTTTAACGCGGAAGCCAACGAGAGAGACTCGTCATCGTATCGGTATCAATACGATTCCCTCTGCACGTCGTTCGACGACGATTGATGGAATCCTTAGACGTCCGTCCCGCGACTCCTCGATTCATCGGTTCTCGCTTATGTAGCCAAAATCGGGCAGCTTTCGAGCAAACAAAGTATCTTCTTGGCAGCCGTCCACGTAGACCATGGACCGTGTGGCCTGGCCGATCGTCTCGAATTTGATCGCTTGTAGCGCGGGTGGAAGAAGGTCGCGAGATGCGCGAACTTATTTTCGTGGGAAGCTTAAAAAAGTTGATTGAAACCGGTGATTGTGCACGATTTTAATTAATTGTTATCTCTGATAAGAGTGAGAATCGTAGTGCTGTATATTTGTATTTAAATGAAATTTGTCGTACTGTTTAATTTGCAACAATTTATAGAAAAAAAAGAATTGTATTTTTAGCAGCAACGTGATTTTGATTATTTTGCATACGCGTATTCAACTGGCAAAACGCGATTCACACGCTTGATCGAGTGCGTTCTGGTATTCGAGCATGTATTTCTCCTTTCAGTCGCGTTCAGCGATTTTCTAAATTGTACATCATCTACTGCGTTAAAATCGCATTAGTTCACCGTTTGGTCGTTTAATGGGTTAACGATCGTGCTTTCACGTGGGGGTATCGAAAGCCGTCTAGCAACGGTGAAACTCCTGGACTATGTATTTATAAAGCGCGGCCTCGTGGCGCTTGCCTATCATGGTCGTCCCGCGTGCAAACCAAACTGACCTCGATCCACTGTCGTATTTCTTTGCATACGAACAGTAAATGTTCATTTCACAATCTTCGAAGTATTCCCAAGACATTCATGATGTCGTGAACGCTTCTTCGCTCGCTTCCGTCACCTACTACGTTAGAACTCGCATGCGTCATTTGTTGAAAGTAGGGTAGCTGTACGCAGCTTCCGTGTTTTTCGGCGAGAATTTGCATCTCACGATTGCACAGCGTGACTCGTCTTTGTTGTTTGTTACAATTCTAGAATACACAGATGCAAAGGAGACAAAAGCTTTCTCACGTTGCTCTTCGCGTACTTCAAATATCTTTTGCGAGAACGTTTCACAAGCTCCGTTGTTGCTATTCTAAGAGATTAACGCGAACGTTATTTTTTTCGGCGCACGACGGAAACGATTGGATCGTTGCCGAACAGGCGTTTCGGAAAACCAGACGGATTCGTAGCATCTGTGCGAAAGAACTGAATGAGGGTTGCGCAATCCTCGCGGAAAGATTTATTGTGGTAACAGGCGATAACCGACAGCCTGGAAATATTTGGAAACGTGCGAGATTCACGGTGGACTGTGACGCGAGAATGAGTGAAGGCTAAAGCATTTTTATTTGGGGATCTCCGATACGCGTGTACGTATCGCTAATTGCTTCCTCGTGTCCATTCTCTCTCTATTTTCATCCACGCTCGCATTATACTTATTTCTATTTATAAGTATCCGTGCTTTTGAGTCATTGCAATTTCGGGAATCGCGACTAAGTATTATTATAGGCGTATAGCACAACTTTATTGCGATACTTAACCATTTAATAACAAACATGAACACATTAGTAGGTCATCGAAAATTTAGTGAGAACACTATTTTTAGTAATGTTCAATTATAAAAACAATTATTATACATTTTATTAAAAACAATTAAAATTTTTGTCATGAACGCATTACTTAACTATACAGTACTTGGCTATACAGTCAATCCTAAAAGTTTATGCACTTTAGAAACGCATTTTTTAAAAAGAAATCAGACGTCGGAAGAACATTGCTAATAATAAATAACAAAAAAAAATTTTCGATTTTTCCGAGATTTTT